TTTTTTATGTCCACACTTAAATTATTCCATAGTTTTACCCCACTTATGGAAATACAAAATCTTTTTTTGGTTGTACGTATAGCATGAATTTTAAAATTTAACTGACCCCTTAAATTGTATCCCCCTTCCCTTTCATTAAATAGTTTTTGAATTCCACCAGGTAATAAATTGTTCCTGATGTATATACCCAGGAATTAATTAAGTAAAGTCAGTGAATTTAAAGTCAGACTTACCCCAGTGTATAGAGGGGCAACTTCTCCCCTCTTCTTTCTGAAGTCTATTATGAGCTCAATCGTCTTAGGGGTGTTCATTGTTAGGTTGTTGATGGAGCACCATTCACCAGTCTTAATGACATCCTCTGGAGGCCTATTGGCTCTGTAAGCAAACTGATGTTAGTCCAGTGCAGATGATTTAATGTGTTTGAGGACCAGCCTCTCAAAACACAGGTCCATAGTCATTCAGGCTGCTGATAGCTTTCACATATTGTTTTGAGCAGAGTGTTGCATGTTCAAGGCTCTTCAAGAAGCAAAACTATGGCAACAGATATTAAATACATACAGCTAAGAGCAAATAGTAGTAACATTGACTTAAAATGTGTAACCTTTTTTCATGAACATTGACAGACAAATACACAAGCTTCCTACTTCTGTGTTTTCAGCTGTCTTTTGCAAAGGGGAAACAGTACCTGAAACACATCATGGAGCAGCACAAGGAGCGAGGCTATGGCTGTGGGATCTGCAACCGACGCTTTGCACTGAAAGCCACGTACAATGCTCACCTTGTCATTCACAGAGAGCAGCTGCCCGACCCTGCAGTGCAGAAGTAAGACTGCAGCACAACAAACACATTCCAGTTCACATTTTTTGTTGTGCTTCTTGTGTTTGTGAATCCTTGGCAACCAAGGCTGACATACTAGATAAGCGTGGAGACAGGAATATCTGAGATCTGTTGTAGACTCGTTGTATAAAATATTACAAACTTTCTGACATGTGATGAAGAGGAGAATCCATGTGTTCTTTTGCTTAATTAAACATAGACCAGTCTAAAAGAGATGGAGCTAAAGGAACACAGATGTGTTAATGTACACACATTTAAAAACTTTACTTGCAGCTGGATTAAAATTCATTCTCTAATTGTAATGATTATTGCCAGTGTTTGGATTAGGGTGTGTAAGAGCTTAAAGAGCCCGTGACCTGCTTTTCCTTTTTTTCTGACCGATCTATAATGTTACAATTTTCATCTTAGACATGACCTAAAGCTCAAAAAATTAGGTGTATGGATGTTCTACTTTTTCTATGCAGAAGCAGCTCGGTTTATACACATCTCACAAATGCTCGCTCATGAAACTTTTTTCTAATAAAATTATTTCATCATAGTTTAAGGATTTCTTCAATGGTCATAATCTCCAGGCAGTTACTCAACTCAACTCAACTTTATTTATATAGCGCTTTACCACAGCCACAGCTGACCAAAGTGCTTAACATACCGTACAAGTCTAAAATCGTAACAGCATTAAAAAAAAAAGTTGTCATGTGATCTTACATGACATCCACAGGTGCCATAGTGGAAGTGGAATTTTTCGACTGCGCCCGGTTTTATGGATATATTTTTCCTCCTCCTGCTGCACTGTGACCAAAGCATGTGGAGAAAAATACAGGGCCTGAGGTTACTGCATGTCTGGGAATGTTCCTGTACAGGGACTTGCTGTTTTAACTGGCTGGGTCTAACCTACAAGCAGCTGGCCAGTGAAGCCCCCATGGCAGTGAATGATCAGATCATCAAGGCTGGATTGGCCTGGAGCATGGTACCTGTTTGTTTTGACTTCTTGAGGCCACTGTGTCTGCCACATGTGATGTGTTGCTGATTAACCAGCAGATTAATGACCCATGATGTTATTGTCAGTGCTACACTACCTGTTTGAATTAATTTCACTACTTTGGAACTGTATGTGGTCTGTATGTGATGTTTCCACTACTTGGTGGGACTTAACTATAAGTTTAAAAAAACCCAAGTTAATGTGTTGTTTCTGTAGAGAATTGTTGTGAGGCTGGAGAAGTTACTATGTCTGCATTATGCTAAAAATATGGGGTTTCTCAATTACCCACTTTGTTTAGAGTATTAAAAATATCTTTTCATTGGTACATATACCGTTGTTTACCAATCTATGGAGGAGAAATTAAAATTAATTAATGCCGTCGCAGTTCGTTGTGCTGTCCACTTTCAACACAACACTGGTAACAGTGTGCGCATTCACAAACTATCCTCTCATTTTTAGGAAGAGGCTCTCTGGTTTTATCATTCTAAATTAATGACAGATTATTTGGAGTTATGATAGGTGCAAAGATTATGCAAGATTAAACATTAAATGGCTAGAAATGAGCATGGCATGGGCTTTTAAAGTTATTTCAGTACTCTGGCTAAAAGGAAACAGCAAAGGTTATATCAGACTGAAAGATGAAATTACTGTAATCTTTTCAAATCTGCTCATCTGTCCTAAAGGTACATCCATCCATGTGAGATTTGTGGCCGAATCTTCAATAGTATTGGTAATCTGGAAAGGCACAAGATCATCCACACTGGTGAGCAACAGCCTCTGGGCTCTTTTCCTAAAATAGGTTGCAGAGGCAGACGCAGGTCTAAAGGTGAAGGTACATATGGATGTTTCAAACAGTTTTTTGTAGGTTTGATGACCACTGTTGTTGGAGCATATTCGGTGTAGCCAGGTGCAACATGGAAGAGAGGCTGAATGTTATGAGGGGGAGGAATGCATCATGAACAGGTGGAGACAGGGCTGGCTTTAGATAGGGCCAATCAAATGATGGCTAATCATGAGGAAACTGACATACTGTCCATGAGGTGCAGAGTCACCATGACTGCATGAAATACATGAGATATGAAATGTATATCACATGCAGCTTCGTTTATTTCTTCTCCAAACAATTATGAACTTCATTCCGAAAGTGTGGTGAGAAAAAGATTTTCAATAGAGGTACTGCACATAAATATTCACTCATTGGTTTTGCTAGTGTCACTGACCAGCTTTTGTGTGTGGAAGATAGAAGGACTCTGGTCCTCTAACCACCAGCACATATACTGGGTAATTTATTCACAGCTGCACCCTGTAAGGACAGATTGTGGGTGATGACACACACCAACACTGTTTGACCACATTTGTGTCTATAGCCACACACTGAGAACTAGTTTATCTTATTTAAAAATAATCTTTTACATTGCCACACATATTTCATAATTTTGATAATTTAACAATAAATGATTCAGGGTGAATTCCAGCACATCAGTTGTAGATTTAAGGGTTAATGTTGGTGCGGCCATTAAAATACATTTGGGTAGCTGTTCTTATGCTTCCTATCCTATACTGTTAGACAAATTGCAGTGTGTCTATGTTTGTGGTGAAAGGTGGTCTGAGCAGGTTTTAATGCAAACATGATTTCAGGACAAAATGAGCACCAATATTTCACCATGCTGCCTAGTCAGCATACACACAGTCTCAATTGTGCCTTGCCTCCCACACATACGTCCGTGACAGGAAAATACCAAACACAACACATTGTTATATGAGAAAAAAATAGACTTGCACCCAAGGAAAGCTGTATAAAGACTCCATTTGAGGCTGCACTGAAAATAGAGCCCTTTGTGTGTGATAATTAACCCTTTAACTGTGACTGCACTGAAAATAGAGCCCTTTGTGTGCGATAATTAACCCTTTAATTGTTAGTTAGTTTCCTGAATTCGATATTTAGACACCTAAATAAATGGCTTCATGTGTTGGTTTTCTAATGATCTGCTGCTTTACCATTTGAAGACTCCCAAAATGTCTTTTGCATTGTGGATTGTTTTTTTCCCACAACCCTTAGATACCCAGGCCTTTTTTGTCCAGATTTCACTCAGTACATTAAGCTGGCTAATGAACTGAGTTACTTGCTGTGAGTTGTTGCTCGGTCCTTTTTTGTCCTGTTTGAGAAAAACATGTTCTGGAACTACAGTTCCCATAATGCTTTTGGGGAAGGATGCTGGCAGTATGATGTTGCTAACTAGGTACTGATGTCACTGTGGCCTATACCCTGAACCCTGCATCATTTTGTTGACATTGTAGCTACTGGTCCCCATGGAAACTAGCAGCAAATTAGGTGTCGGCCTTTCTGTTTGTTCTGTAACCATAGAAATGGACAGCTGGCACTGGATCACTTTTTACTGAAAAAGGAAGATTTTTACAATAAAAACATTTATTACACATATTTAGCATGTGTAACAGAACAGTTCCACACAGAGCTACAAGCTCAGACAAACTTTTTTCTTCTCATTTGAATGCCTATGTGTGTGTGTGTTTGTGTGATCAGGTGTGAAGAGCCACAGCTGTGATAAGTGTGGCAAATCATTCGCAAGGAAAGACATGCTGAAAGAGCACCTCAGGGTCCATGACGACATCCGAGATTTCCTGTGTGCAGAATGTGGGAAAGGTTGAGCCTTTAACTGCTGCCTCGCACAGTTTTCATCTCACTGTGTAAATGCCACAATGAATATACAGTCAAATAGTTGATGTGTGGGTCATTGCCACATTTCCTCTGCAGGCATGAAGACCAAACATGCTCTGAGGCACCACATGAAGCTTCACAAGGGCATCAAAGAGTACGAGTGTAAGGAGTGTAACCGCAAGTTTGCCCAAAAAGTCAACATGTTGAAACATTACAAGAGACACACAGGTGAGTCACAGTGTGTGGTACAGTTTTACAAAAAATTGGAAAAAAAAGAATGGTCAGTATCAGTAGACAAGAATAGACGGTACAAAGCTCATAGACAGTGCTTCACATTACCGTCCAGTGTCTGTTCATTGTCATGGCACGTTGTTTGCAGGTATAAAGGACTACATGTGTGAGCTGTGTGGAAAGACGTTCAGTGAGAGGACAACTCTAGAGACACACAAGCTCATCCACACAGGCAAGTGTGTCATGTCAGGCCACGTTAAAGGTGCAATGTATGAGATTGCAATGTTCACTATAGGTCTTACATTGTTGTCAACAGCCTTCACAGCCATTTCACAGAGATTACTGTAAATAGAGGACAAATTGTGCACTAAGAAAACAAGTGCAGCTGACTTGAGCAACCAAAAGCTAATAATGGCTCACTTGAGCACAGTGGGTTACCCAGCACTGGCCACATTCTGGCTAAAGCTGTCAAACAAAAACTGGCATTCATGTTGACTTTATTTGTTAGGCTAAATTACCTGTACAGAAGAGAACAACTTTGGAATCATTCTGAAAACATTTGTCCCCCGTCAAGGGTTGCCATCTTGAAAAGGCCACACCAGTGTTTATCCTTGTCTTGTGCCATCACCTATCTTGTTTCTTCATGTCTTTGCTTCTTTGATGACAAGGATTCACGCTTCACGTCTTCCTTTTTCCTGTGCTAAAGTTTTAACTATGATCCTCCATTTCTTCAAATTTTAGTTCTTAAACTCACAACAATGCTTCCTATTGTTTATAACATTAGTATTTCTTTGTCTTCAAGCATCTCCAAATCCAAGCTGTTGCTTCAACATCAAAATGCAAAATATCCCACTCTTTAGTCAGTGTGCGGTTTATCTGTTCTGGACTCATGTAAAGAAAAACATGGCAGCTCAACATGGCGGCCTCCATGCTAGGGGACCTGCTCCTATGTAGCTATAAAAGGCTCATTCTAAGCTAAATGATTCTTATTTTCTGGCAATTACACATTGATGGAAACATAATTATGAATACTATAGCCCATTTCTGCTAATAAATCCTTCTAGATCTTACACACTGCTCCTTTAAAACCAGCATGCTGAGTGTGGAAGCCTGTCATTTGGCTGTTCTTCCCTACTGTGTTCAGATTCACAAAAGCAGAGTGCAGAGAAGGTCTGCAGGTTGATTTATGGCACCAGCAGTACACAAAAAAACCAAACCACCACTCAGAAATTAAAGGACATGTTTACTATGAAACTAAAAGTTGAAGGGTGGAGGGTGGATAGATTGTATACATGGGTACATTTAGAATGCAGGACTGACCTGCCTGTGTTTCCCTCTGTCCCACTGCAGTGGGTAAGACATGGACGTGTGTGACGTGTGATAAGAAGTACCTGACAGAGTACATGCTGCAGAAACATGTGCACCTGACCCATGAGAAGGTGGAGGCCCAGTCGTGTCACCTCTGTGGGACCAAAGTGTCCACCCGTGCGTCCATGAACCGACACTTGCGACGCAAACACCCTGAGGTGAGTGGGGACATCCTGCCAGGGAGCGCTTCTTATGTTTCACCACCCAGGGCAGTGGCTGCTGTCACATTCTAAAGGTATCCCTGTTGAACTTTGACTGTTCTACTTTACGCCTCTAGGTGGTGTCTGTGAGAATCGAAGAATTTGATGATCTTCAGGAAACTTCAACAGTCAGTGATTCTTCTATCAGCATTGTGCAGGTATGGTTACAGTTCTGCATTTCTCTAATTAATCCGATGCTAAAATGATGTTGATGCCCAGTGATACTGTATGGCCTGTTCTTCATACTGTACTTTGTATACACCATAATGATATGGTGCACTGTAGTGTGTCTAGAACTTGTTTGTTCACAATCTGAGCTGTGAGTCAAAAATACACCAAATGTTACAGCCTCAGCTGTCTGTCACAGCATCACTGTGGCAACTTCTGTGCTGTGCACATCCTATGAGATGTATGTGTTTGTGGACAGACAAAATCAATCAAGTCTAAATTGAATTGTACCTTGTCACTAATTCAGTGTTATCATGAGATGTTTCGCCTTCTTCCTCAGCCCACCCTGACCATGGAAAAAGATGGCATGTCTCAAGAGAGGCCCAGCCGACCGTCCCGGCATCCCAGGAAGAAGCAGAGAGTTCCAGTTGAGCCGGAGCTGTCTGAGCCTGACGAGTATGTTGACTTCACCGAGCCGAGGCACGAACCCATGACACAGTTCAATGCCGTCATTGTCGGTGATGAGACTGAGACAAGCTCTGCTGTGCAGAGCATCCAGCAGGTGTGTACGAAGATTTTCATTAATGTTGCTGCTTGATCGTTTTAATAACATGTCCAGTCTCTTTCTTTTCAAAAACAACAAGAAATGGAGGCTTGATGCAAAGCAGGTGGACTGATTTCTATTTTTTTTTAAACAGAGCTCCACAGATGGAAATATGAGATACGTTTGTGGTAAAATAAAGTTTGGCACTCCAAATCTAAAGGGTTAAAACGTCCCCATTTTTCCAGTTTGTATTGACTTTGAAGCTTTTCAAATCCAGTGAATAACTTTAAATGGTATAAAGCTAAGATGTAAACTGTCAGAGGTAAACAAACAAAAACATAGTGATCAAGTAACAGGTTAACTTCCATCTTTTCTGCAGCGGTGGAAATAAATGAGCCTTGAACATTGATGCAAACAGCTCCTACAGGTGTCGCAACCTTTGTTGAGGGCTAACAACAACAAATCTGTATGAAGGCAAGGCTGTGTTACGACACCGTCTGAAGCATTATTTGGAAAAAGAAGATTAACAAATGAAGACAGACCTTTTCAGGGTTTCATCATATAGAAGGATAGTGATCCAAAAACACTCCTCCAGGCTGTCTAGAAGAAAACAAGACAGTGGGCTTCAAATGTTGAACTGGCAGCACAGGGTCCAGACTTTCCAGATGAAAAGTGAAAGCAAAGCAACATACATGTGCAACACGTGTGTGGGAACGTCCACACCAGAGCTGTCTATCCCATCTGTTATAGAACTAAAAATGGAGGTGACCTCTAACCTTTGAACAGTGGTGTCTGTAAATCAATTTATTTTTTGTTTTTTATCAGTCAGTCTTAATTGACCGTTAAAGTAATACGATGCTTTGACACCTGCAGTTTTTAGCTGTTAAGTTTTTCATCAGTTAGTACAGTGTCACTATAACTGAACAGATAAAGTCTGCATAGTTCTCCTTGCTTGCTTAAAAAACAGATTACAGAAACCTGCAGTTCATAATATTTGTTTCTGACATTTTTCAGAGCTTCCTGCTCTTGCTTACAACCCTCAAAAAGTACATTTGTTGTTTTAACCTTGAAAACTCCATGACTCAATAGAAATGGTGCTGCTCAGATGTGATTGACTTTACACCTATATACCAGGGGATTTCAACTAACCCAGGGGCCACATTCTAAGAAGTAACCTGAGGGGTAGACAGACTGGATGGGCACTGTTTTAATCCTGAAAGTCACCTTGACCTCTCTAAGTTTTATATATCTGCATTAATGCGATTATTTACAAACAATTATTAATATATGGAAATGTGTTTAATTTAAAAAAAAATATATATAATTCTTTCAGTAAAACTGCATTACTGAGTGCATGCTCACAGACCACCTGCAGTGTCTTCATTGGCCACCAGGGGGCCACAGACCACTGGTTGAAAACTCCTGCTTACAGTATATACTGTACTTGTGTGAATTTGTCTGTCAATACATTGCCCTGTTCGTTGCCTTCTCCAACTGAGCTGCTGTTCCTGTTTCAGGTGGTGGTCCTTGCTGATTCCAGCGCTCCGTCAGCCTCCTCCTCCAGCAGCTCAGTGGGGTTGACCAACATCACTGTCACCCCCATCACCAGCCACGCACCTGCCCAGTTCACCAGCCTGCAACCTGTAGCTGTGGGCCACCTGACAGCCAGCGACCGGCCCCTCTCGCTGGACAATTCTATCCTCACTGTCACCTTCGACACCGTCAGTGGCTCTGCTATGCTCCATAATCGTCCTGCTGAGCTCGTCCCGGAGACAGCGGGCCCTGGCGGGGGTGCAGCAACTCAGTCAGTCGCCCACTTCATCAACCTCACTACTCTGGTCAACCCCATTGGCCACCAGCTGGAGGCCCCGACTCTGGCTTGGAGGCCCGTACCGGCGGTTGAGGGCAGTCAGGTCACCCCCATGATGGAGGGAACTCAGGGGGAATGTCAGGAGGCCCCGAGCCAGGGCCCAGAGCCAGGCCGACCAAGCCAGAGCCAGCCCCCCACTCCACAGCAGCAGAGCAGCTCCGCACAGCAGATGTTCAGCTACTAAGCAGAGACTGGAGATGTGGCTCACCTTGTACTCACATTGTCACAGCGTAGAACAGACTTCCTGACTGAACTATACAGTACTTTGATCACTGTCACCCAGATGCCTCTCCAGCCCCATGGAAATGAATCAAATTGAAATGTTTTTTTAATAGTGACAAAACACTGCGGATATTAATAATTAACATACAGCTTAAGAAAGAGACAAATGGTACATTTAGCCAAAATCACTGACACTCCTCTGAAAGATTTCCATTTAAACCAAAGCAACATGTTGAATCTTCAAATGCCTTACCAGTCTTTAAGAGCATGTGTCTTCAGCATAAGTCATCTGCTTGGAAGATTACATCTGAAAATGTACCAACCTTAATGCAGAAGACACACTTTGTTCAATGAAAGCACTTTCACCAGGTTATGTGATGGGGGTGGCTGGCATATTCCTAGAGGCCCACTGATGAAATGTTATTTTTGAATGCTGTAATTATTGTTGAACTGTCTGGAAAACCTACTGGAACTCTTTTTCTACTGTTATTTTTAAACAAAATGCCTCTTTTCAATGGGTATTGTTTGTATGTGTCTTCATTATATAAATCCAGGTCTAACTAACCACAAGCAGATACATTTCAGCAGCAGCAAAGTTCAGTGCAAATGTCTGTCACACTTTTATATTTCCAGACCCAAATGCAAACACAAAGACAGGCCCTTGAAGAGTGTCTCTTTTTTAATGTCAGATGAACAGAGATGACCATATAAGCCTTCATGTGGCAACCACAACACAGTCTTGACATAAGGTGCATGCTTTGTCCAAACAGGAAGTGCAGAGTCAGAGTGCAAGGTGTGACACAACCATGAGCAAACCTGCTTCTGTTGCTCTGTCTATTTCCAGCAATATGGCCATGCGTGAGCCTGCTGCTCCTCCAGTCAGAAGCTGACAGCAGTATGGTTGGAGTGGAACACATGGTCCGTCAGAGCAGGTTTTGTGTATATTATTTGGAAATTCTCCCTAAATGTATTTTGGAGGAGGTATGGAAGTGGGGGTGACCTTTAACAAAGTTCCTTTGCTTGTGATATTTTTGTCATTTTATCATCCCGGGCATAAAATTAAACAGACAAAAAAGAAAAAAAAATAATTAAATGGCAGCCTATGTTCAAAGGAGTGAAGCCACAAAGTTTCACATCATCAGAAAGGTTTTGCCTATCAACTGCAATTTATTGGTGTGATATGAGCAATATAAATATCAGAAGCTGGTCTAAACAGGCTTTATACAGCAAAGTTCTGTGTGGGTGACCTGGCTGTAAGTGGGTTTGTCCTTCCAACAACCAAGAAGATAGTACTTGTGAACACCACACTGATCAGATCAGCACAAAAGAAATACAAATATGGAAGCATGAAGGAATTACTGTAGAAGACAAAGAATTCTCCTGTTACAGTATCATCATGATATTAAGCACTGAGCTTTAGAGAACCAGTAGCAGATTCAGTGACATTTGCCTACTATTTAGAATTTCAAATAATCTCTAGCTTTATGCATCCATTATATTTCTATAAGTATGCATTTGATGGTGTTTGAGCCAGTCTAGAGTTGAATGTTTGAACATGCAACTCCTAACAGATGATGATCTGGCATCATCTTATACACACTGGCCCAAATTTGATTTAGTATCATTTCTTTTGAAAATTTTCTGTGAATTTAATGAATAATTTATTTCTCAAATTGGTAAGAATAAAAGTAGTTCCTTAAAACAGAATTTAGAAAATGTAGGATAGAGATCCTTCATTACTGCCTGTAATCACTAACAAAGCAGTAAATTAATTCATAAACAAGCCATCACATTCTGCATTTGCTGAACATCAGTGGCAGCATTCTTATCATAATTAATGTACACATACAGGGGTCAGAGAGCTCCTGGGGACACACTGAATACTGGGAAGAACAAAATGCACTATAAATACTGTGTCAGTACATATCAGCTAACAGGCTGTCACAAAAGACATTCTCGTTTTGAAATTGATTGTTTATGTCTCATGATCAATGGCTTATTATAATGAACTAATTACTTCACTGTGAATGCTTAAGTTAACTGATGCATACAAAAGGATCTCAGTAAAGCTCATTTAAATTTGTAACAAGCAAAGGAATTTGTTAAACAGTGGAGTAAAGTGGGCAGTCCTGATTTAGTTCTGGGTTTTAAATCAAAGCAGTAAAGCAGATGAAAAGAACCAACATCATTAACACACTTTACACAGTGGGGGTGGGGCAGCCTCAGGGGATTGACAGCCTGGTTCCTCATAGACCACTACTGTCTCCACAGCTGCCCTGACGACATACAGGATTTCTACCTCGTTTCTGAACTTTGTTCTTCCAGTTTCCTAATTGACTCTGAAGGGCAGGGTGGAGGAGATCACATATGATGTCAATAAAGTAGAGGCAAACAGAGAAACAGGTAGGACTGTCAGCTGCTGATCACCTGAAAGGAAATATAAATACAAAAGTAACTATTTTCTATGAGACACAGTAAATTGCATTTTACACCCACTCTGACCTATAGGCAGAGCAAATGGATCAGGTACTCCAGAGCATCAGGAGCAGGAATTTACAGGTTGCAGTGTGTTTCATTATGAGTCAGGGGGAGGGCCCAAAGATTTGTATATCAAATTAAATGTAAGATTCAACTCCACACCCCACCCCACTCAGTTTGGGGTGGGGTGTTAGACCAGTTTGTAACAGGTTTTAGGTACTACACTTGTGTGATATTTCCATCTATTGGCTGACATGTAGGGATGAATGCAGTCTTGCATCATTTCTTGTCCCTGACTTCAGCTGCCTTAACCAACCTTGCATTTAACAGCCTGAGGAAGACATCCTGGCTGCACTAACATTCAGACAACAAATCTCTGAATATCTATCTAACTAAAAAATAACCTAACACAGTGTTCTATGTATAATGTGTATGATGCGTTCTAGAGATTTTCTTCATTCCATTTACATCAGCCGGTGAAACAGATCAACCTGAGATAAAGCTTGTTTAACTCTGATCTTTATCAGCTGCATTTCTATTTCTGACTCTGTTTAAACAATATAAAATCAAATGTGTAAAACTATATAAAGTGGATTGAAGAAGGAATTTTTTAAATGTCACAAATCAGTCATGAAGACACAAAAGAAAAGAAATGATCATCTAATGAAACTGTCCAAAAAGTAATAAAAAGGTATTAATTAAAATATGTTAAAACATAATGAAATGAAAAAATTATACTTACACAGAGGCACAATCAAGGAAGGTCGTCCAAAAAAACTAAACTAAACAAAAACAAAAAGGCTTCCATGGCTTCTAAAGGTTAAGCTGTTTTTCTCCTGGGAATGCAATTATTAATTTATTAAGTCAATAGTCCAAAGGACAGACAGGTCTTTTTATTTTAGTGTTGCATCTTTTAACAATAATACAGTTTAGCTTAAACTACTGGATTTCAAGCTTCCACTATGTCCATGACTACAGTATAAAATTAGTTTAACCGGAAGGCAAATTTCAGGGTTGACTGGCAAATGACATCATATACATTTTGGCAAATATTGTGTATTTTGGAGCTAAACTAAGTGGGATGCATCTAGAAGGTGAGTTGAGTTAAACTGAGCACACAGGTCTGTCACTGGTGTACTGAGGTTATGACAGTGCCCAGCTATGAAAGAACATGATGTTCCCCTCTGCTGCATGGATCTGGGATGAGATGTCACATAACCCAACTATTGTTAGGACACATTCCTACTTCTTACCTCAGCTGACCTAGTTGGATAATGGTCTGCAGTGGGACAAAGGTGTGTTTATTAAATGACACGTTCCTCAGTACATGCACTCCGGCTCATTACAAAGATTATTCTCTCCTTTTCATAACAGCAGCATAAGAAATCCAAGCACTTCTGGGCATCTGGAAAAGATCTGTCTAAAGGCATACAGTTGGAGCATGGTGCCCTGTGGCTTGTCATGTTTCTTTCCCCTGTGTTTTCAGAACCCGGAAGTGATGTCACAGCACCATGCCCAGCCCCTTTTTTCACCTGAAGAGAGGGAGGGGTAACTCTGAGTTACACAAGAGGAAAAACAAGGAAGAGCTCACAAGAAGCAGGTCGGTGTGTACGTTCACTTCTCCAGATTGTGCCTTGGAGACATATAAAAGAGGAGTTTACCCAGTTGGTGGGTTTCTCAGCACGGATATGGATGTCCCGGATTCTCCACACTGGAATATGGGGCTGTTAAGAACCTTTGATGCCACTGAGTTTGGCAGCTGGGAAAAAATAGGTTCAGGAGGATTTGGACAAGTATACAAAGTCCGGCACGTACAGTGGAAAACATGGCTGGCTATCAAGTGCCCTCCCAGCCTTCATGTGGATGACAAGTAAGTCACAGCCATTGAGCCACACAGATTAGTTTTGTAGTGATGTTGATGTAGAGCGACTAAATGTAATATGAGAGAATTTGTCTCAAAATACTTCAATAAAACTCTGGCATAGTTTAGATATTTCTTTATTTCTCTGTTTGATCCTTAGAAAGTAGAAAGTGATTATCCTTATCCTTATCCTTATTATGTTTTTTGGTAACCAGTATATGACCAACTGGACAGATAGAGGTTAGATTATGACTGCGTTGAAGAAAAGTCACTTGGTCCACCAGAGTCCTTGAAAGGTGAACACTAGGGAATGTGTAACTCACTGACTGAGTGCACAGAGCAGCTATAAAGGTGCCGAAGCACCAAACAATCACTTACTCTAAGATTATTAAACACCCGGTTAGTTGTGTTGCAGGGAACACTGACATGCTGATTCATCCCTGGGGCAAAAATAAGTCCACACTGTTCAGGGACAAAGCTGTTTACACACTCCAACAAAACAGAAAAACCAAAGGTTCACTACTGATTTCCCCAATCAACACTGACACTACCATGTGGTGGCCTCAGGGAGGGGCTGACTGGAATAAATGTGCATTTCAATAAGGTTAGTAAGGTGATCTTTTCCTCAAGGCACTTCTAGAGATTACACAACCCTCTAGAATTCTGTAGTACTTTGCATAACCATTAATTTTATATGTTGCTCCATGTGGTTTTAACAAAAGAAAAAACGTTCTTGTTTTATTGAATGTGTATGCTTGTGTGTATCTCTCAGCAGTCCACACATGTGCACACACACACACACACACACCGGGTTACTAGGTTCATCAGTAAGCTTTAGGCAAATTATACATTTTTCCTCACAAGAACCTGTCTGTCACAAGAACCAGTCATTGCTGATTATCTGACATAATGATTTGTGTGTAATGCAATACAAAGTACCTGACAGAGTTCCACCTGTCCTTCCTGAGCCTGAGCTTTAGCCCCAGACAGTGGCCTACATTTGTATTTCCTCAACTGATCACCCAACACTTCCTTTATTTATTTATTTGGACTGTCTGACATCAAATAGTGACCTGTTGAGAGATCACACTTACAAAAACATTGCAGTCAGATAAATAACAAACAGGAACTTGAGATTTCAGCATTACCAAAAAAGACATCCCCACTTCCCCCACACTCTGTGGTTCAACCTCAAATCAAATGTATTTATATAGCACTTTAAAAACAACATCCAGTTGACCAAAGTACTTTACATAGACAGAATTAAATCACGATAAATAACTCAAATAAAATAGATTCAGTGCAAAAATAAAACAATAACTCAGATACACAGATGACACACATTCAACCTCAAGCATCCCATGACTCTAAGCCAAAGGTGTTATCACCTCCAAAGATCTGCAAAGTAGATAAGCAGCCATCTGACTGCAGCCCTCATCAACCCACACACAACAACCAGCAACAGGCACTCAAAGCCACCTTTGTCTGCTTGGGTTGCTGGCGGCTGCTGTGTGGCACAGACAATAAAAGAAGCTGTACAACTGGTCCTACCAGGCCTCTCTGTTAAAGCAGAGATATTGTTTGGTCCTGAGGAGCTGCCGAGGAGCACTCTGGATTAGACGAAGGGTTTAGCAAACAAGTGCATGCCCATTCTCCCATAACATTCTTGATTATTCTTGCTTGGCAGATTTGAGGACTTGTGCCTCCTTCACTTGTACTGACTATAAAGGACAATTATAGCCAGGCTCCTTTTTACAGAACATGACTCTTTCAGTAACCTGATACACACAATAGACTTTTGGGACTTGTAAAAGTCTCCTTAGTGACTCTTTCATTTTATTGATGGTGGAAAATCTGAATTCCGAGTCCAGCTCACTTAATTCTGCCTTTGATGCACATTCCTATCAGTACAGTCCTTAGTAAATGACCTTTCTCTCATGTTCTCATTAAGGGTTTGCATTCTTTAAGCAGATTTTACTGGAGATACATGTACTGAGGTCATGAATTACCTGCATAGCTGGGCTATGCCAGCAGAGCCAGTGGACTGATAATGGGAACTGTGCAAAGGTTGAGCAACAGAGAACAAGAGCTTCGTTTAAGCCGACTGGGTTCTCCCGATGCATTCCAGTCTGGACTGGAATGTCCTCAAGGCCTTAAAAGAGCCACTGGGCAGTTAAGAACATGATCCACATACTTGACTTGGTAAATTAGTTATGGCCAGCCTCTAATGTTAATGCTAGTAAACATTCTACACAGCTGGGAACCCAGTAAGGACATGCAGTGTGCTGGAATTTGGGTTAGTTATGAGAAATAACACAGAGTGCAGATCTGATGCACCTCTATGAGCTATGGAATGCAAACTGTTTACAAACATAGTAACCTAAATATCTTTGATACAGAGACCGATCAGAGCTGCTCGAGGAGGCAAAAAAGATGGAGGCTGCCAAGTTCAGATACATCCTTCCTGTGTATGGGATTTGTGAGGACCCCCAGGGCCTCGTCATGGAGTACATGGAGACTGGCTCTCTGGAGACCCTGCTGGCCAACGAGCTGCTGCCCTGGGAGCTCCGTTTCCGTATCATTCACGAGACTGCAGTGGGAATGAACTTCCTCCACTGCATGAACCCACCACTCCTCCACCTGGACCTGAAGCCTGCCAACATCCTGCTGGATGCTCACTATCATGTCAAGGTAGAGAGCTGCACTGTTTAGATCTGGTTGTGTAAAGGCATTACAATTTGTGGAACTGCCATTTTCACTTGTGCACATATCTGTTATATGTTGTAATGTAGCCAATTATGTTTTGTCTGTAGTCAGAAATACCATCAAAATCAGGCTATTTACTGTCAATACCACCTCATCAAATGAGCTGCTATCTGAGGGTTTTCTTTGGCAGGAACTTACCGGGCAAAAATCATCCTCTGATTGAAAGTGTAATGGAGGTGAGGGTTAAGGGGTTTGTTGCTAGAGGACAGACTTGACATGAAGTCAAAGCACAGCTCTCTTTGCTTCAAACATGGTGGAAAGTCACAGCTTTCAGGTTTTAGACGGAAGTTCATTTGGGGTGTGCTTTGTTGTTGCCTGTTATCCAGTTTAAAATGACAGCCCTGCTCATGCTCTGGGCAGACAGGTGTCTCTCAGCCTCTGTTCAACCTCTGAGCAGCTCCACAGCACTGAAAGCAGTGGGTGTGAACTGTCATTTCTAAATTTTAATGCCTGGATGTAAACACCTCACTGGGCCTGTCCCAACAGGATTAATTCAGCTCCTATTAATTCTCCCTCTGTGAATGAATGTGTGTGTGGGTGGGTGTGTACTCTTCAGTGCAAACGTGAAGGGCTTCTTCTCTCCTACAGGCTGGGACATGGCTGGGTTGCCCTCATCATACCACTGAGTTCACATAATAAGAGCTTGGCTGTCTCTCACATGCAGTGGGCAAAGTTAGTCATCAATGTCCCTCTTCATGTGAAAGGCAGTAGAGTTGCTTTGTTTCAGCGTCTGACCTGATCTGTTTCTTTCTCAGATCTCTGATTTTGGCCTGGCCAGGTGGAACGGTCTGTCTCGAGCTGATGACATCAGTAGAGATGGCTTCTGTGGAACTATTGCCTACCTGCCCCCTGAGAGCATCATAGAGAAGGACAGAGTGTCTGACACCAAGCATGACGTATACAGGTTGGACTTTATAGCACTTTCACGCAGCCTTTTGGTGGGATGTGGGTTGTTGTTTGGGATCCCTACCTTTGTATATGTTCAGTTCAGCTCTGACTCATAGCACTCACTGTAACTAATCAAATATTGGAAACAGATTTGGCATGATGTAGTTTGATTTGAAAACAAGTAACAAATTATTTATTTCATGTTTAGCATTAGAAAGACCATTTGAATATATTTTCAGATTAATCTATTCACTCACTTCCACTGAATAGTTTTGACAAACTGACTTATACTGTAAGAGGTTTCTTTTTTTATCTTGGAATAAAATATAAATGCCACTAACAGAGCAGAAGTATAATGTCTGGTATTTTCCTTGTACTGACACATTCATTTTACCCCATTCCAGTTTCTCTATTGTCATCTGGGGGATTCTAACACAGAAGAAGCCTTATCAAGGTAAG